CCAGATGCACTGAAAAGCACACAATGTAGAGCACACTTTATCCTTTTACATTATTGTTAACGAGATATCCAGTGAGGTGAAAAGCCTGGTAAAATAAACCCCTTCAGTTTAGTTTTTTTTATTCAGATATAAGGTTTCAACAGCTACCTATATAAATCTTGCCGCAGCAGCAACGATCTGCAGCAGATCTTGCCCAGACAAAACACTGCAATTAACACACAGTGAGAGCGGCCTCTGGTAAACATAACCCCATATTACTATAATTGCAAAACTTTGCATTTTGACAGCTACAGAAAGGCATCTAAGCTGGAATAGAATGTTTGATGAATGAGTGGAGGAAGGTTTGGAGGAGGGGAAGGAACTCAGAAAATAAAATGGGACAATATTGAAAAGAGGAAACGGATTTAAAGCCGGTTTTCTATAAGAACTTCCGTACCGTAGAGGCCACAAATCCTTACTGAATGAGTGAGGATGTTACACAATACTCAAACAGCTTGTAGTAAGAATACATTTAAATACATTAGTAATTTGGGCTTGTGTAGACAGTATATACATGTAATGGCTTTCTTATGAGGGAAACTGTGATTCAGGCACTTAAGATCACCAAGACCATTTTCACTTTGACTACTATCAGATTATATGGGGCATATTATTAACGAGATATAATTGTTCTTGGTGTTATTACTTGCTGTCTCAAAATGGCACCTTCCGTGGTGAGCTAATTAAATACACCCTTTGATGAAGGCAAGGGCACTCCAGCTGTGGAAAAACTACACATCCCATGAGGCATTGCAACAATCTGACAGCCACAGACATGACTCCCAGAGGCAGAGGCTATATGGGTTAGTAGTTTCACCACAGCTTGAGTGTCAATGTTGCCCTAACCCTGCTTTAGTGTGACACAGAAAATCGAGTATCACTAGGGCAGACGTTAGTTGCTGATGTCAACATCCAAAGTCAAAGAAGCCAGAGTAGAATGGGAAGAGCAGCAATTCATTACTTCTGGGCTGCCATTTAAAACTGGTGAAGATGCTCTTATCCCTTGTTGATGCTAGAAGATGCTCTCTGGTCCTCGATTACTACCGGTAATACAAGAGGACCAGACAGAAACACTGTGGCAAACGTGCAGTAACATCATCTGCGGTTTTTTTTATAGCTATGTCTTTTTTTCCCTGACGACACCTCTTACTCATCATGGCCTTAAAGCTATGCTAAAGTTAAAAATAAAATCTAGTTTGTAGGCTTTTGTTAGTATAGACTTGCATGTCTCGTCCCCCACCCCCCCCC